GAGGGCCCATGTGCTGACAGAACAGTGGGAGGATCTGAGATCAGATTCTGATGTGCATTTAGTAGTGTCAGGCTGAAGTACTTTCAAAATCCACTTTGGAGATGCCAAGCTTCTGACAAACCCATGTGTTTAGCAATACTACTTCTGTCAGTGCTGGTTACGTAGATTATAAATAGCAGAGAGGTAACTACTCATATCTGTTCTTAATAATAAGAAGTACGCATTTGTACAACTCATGTGACAACAACATGATGAAGAACTGATGAAGTTGAAGAAAAGAAAGTTAACACTAATATTTTGGATGCCTTATCCAAGCTGTTTTGTAGAACTAATCTCTGTGTAGCTCAGAGGTCTCCATGTAATGGAGGGTGATAATAGTTTTCATAGCTATAGGGCTGCTGGAATTCCTCCTTTGCTGCAAAGAAGTTACACTTTGGAGATCCTTAACTGGAAGCTGCAATTATCGCAAGCCAGTAGTAAAAATGCAATGCATTCAGAAAAAATAAGCACCAGTTCACAAGATTAGGGAAAAAAAATACAATTGTTATTTCCTCGCTGAACCTCTAAGGTGCATGTCTGTTATGTCTTCAAGATTTTGTCTGCAACAAGGTCAAATTCTTGCAGAATGAATGAGAGACACAAATGATATTACTCTCATTCAAATGACAGATTTCAATCAATCAATGTCATTCATAAAACCACTGACTACCACAAGGGTCACAATACAAATCACTGGTTCTAGAAATGCTGTTTATCTAGGAGAAGTACACCCCCTTCCTAAATATGATAGGTGAAATTGCTGCTTCACTGTGATGAACAGTAATATTGCCACTGACTGCCACAAAGGCAAAGTTCCACACTCTGTTTCTTGCATATATAGAGATCACTGATATATCAGATACTGGGAACAATGAAATTTTGAGGAAATGCAAACAAGCCAGCTAGACACCAGCAAGAAGTGTACCACATTTACCCCTTAATTCTACTACTAGAAAGCCACTGTCCACCAGACAATACAAATATTCTCTATCTGTAACTGACCCTGCTACCTGAAGAAAAAGCCTTGAACACCATGAACATATTAGAAAATATTATTGCACTGAAGAAAAACAATAGGAGTACTTTGCATAGATCCTTTTTTGAACTAAGCCTGGATATAAACAGATAGGAAGGAAAAATTCTCTCTTAGCAGCTTCAGCCGGTGCCTGTGGCTATGCCACAGTGAATTTAAACAAAACAAACAACAACAAAAATAATCTAGATAAGGATCAAGGCAATCTTGAAATGTCACCATTCCAAAAGGACACTTGCAGGAAGTATAAGAGAATAATAAAGAAGTTAAACCAACAGACTTCCTTTATCAAACACAGGAGTTAAGATAGTTTGGAAATAGAGTATGTAATGCTCCATTAATCATGTAATCTCCCTGTCATTATAGAACCATATAACGGTTTGAGTTGGAAGGAATCATAAAGATCATCTTGTTTCACACCTTGACATGTGCAGGGATTCCATGCATTAGATCAGGTTGCTCAGGAGCCCATCCAACCTGGCCTTAAAGACTAATAGGGACAGGGCATCCACAACTTCCCCGGGCAACCTGTGCTTCACCACCTTTTGAGTAAATGGTTTCTTCCTAACATCTAATCTAAACCCGCCCTCTTTCAATGGTTTAAAACCATTGCCCCTTGTCCTGTAGCTATCTGCCTGTACAAAAACAAGTCCCTCACCCTCCTTTTCGCAATCCTTCTAAAGTATTTGAAGGCCGCAGTGAGGTTTCCCTGAAGTCTTCTCTTCTCCAGGCTGAATAACCCCAGCTCTCTCAGCCCATCTTTGCTGGAAATACATGGGTCATTATATACACTCAAGTCATGTCATATGCAGTTACTCACAGGCTGACTAAGTGCTGGGTGCCATCAGGTCATCAGGGAGAGACCCCAATGGGTAGTAATACTTGTTTAGACCTTCATAGGTGGCCATAGCCAGCTATCTCTGTGGCTTTGACCACTGCAGGCAGATTCTCTGCAGCTGTCTGTCCAAGTTATACAGAAACTCTTCTGACAGTTTTAAAACAGGACACCCTTAAAGTGCTTTTAGTCCTCCCTCTCAACAAAGGCATCATGCTGAATCACCAAATCTATGGAAATACTGTAAGTTATGAAGCTCTTGCCAAAATGTAAAATCAGACCAACAAAAGAAAGATCAAAACTCTTCCTTTGTAAATGCTCAGTGGTGCAGGTATGGCTCTAGGATCCAGATCTTTGAAACTACCTCTTCAAATATCTCCTATTTTCCACCTTTGTGAAAGCAACTCTCAAGACTCTGGCATAGTTAAGAGAGCTAAGTTGAAGTCTGGTATCAAAATAACAGAAAGACTCAACTCCAAATCAGAGAGGCTAACAGCCATTTAAAATTCCACCTAAACCGGCATTTAGATTGCTCTATATCAGCTTTCAAGGACATCATAGCAGAAACTGCCCATATTAGAATTAAAAGGAGATTTGTGTTCTTGCTTCTGAACTCTGCTTGGAATTCCCTGGATTCATTTTTTTTTTCCTAATGAAATTACCAGGAAAAATAATCTAGGAATATTAGAAAATAATAGGTCAGATACCAAAGATGCTCAGAATGTCTGGTATCCAATTAATGCTGCATCAACTGCACAGTACAAAGGAAGTCAACTAATAAATCTTTTCAGGAGCAAAAGAGCACATCTTGATTTGCTACTATTTCCAGGTCAGTATTATTTGCTTCTTGTGTCTCGCATTAAAGAAGTATTTACTAAGACTAGAAGCATCACCAGTGCTCATGTATCTGAAAACATACACAGTGCCATTTATGGTATTCTGTTTCAAATCCTTTGGTCATATAACCAGAAATTGGAATCAACTGAAGGAACAGTGTTCATTACAGAGAATCTGAGCAACTGTCCCAGCAACCAGGCCTGGTCTTTCGCCATTTGCGTGCAGCCACATCAGAACCTGACCCACAAACTCATGTTTTCACTGCACCAATTTGGTGTGTACAGCTGTAGCTGTACCTCCCATACTTCTCAGTACTGAAATTCCCTTTCGGTCAGCTCTGCTAACTTGGGAACATCTCCAACCTAAATTGTTGGGAGGGCACTGAAGAACGATCAGCACTTAAGTGATCTTCCTTAAAGCCCCAAAGCAAAGCAGGAAGGTTCCCATCCAAACAAAAGCTCATACCGTGCTCTATCGCAGACCGATACCTAAAGCTGGATATTGGCCGTAACGTTGATGCAAGACCTTCACAGACTGTAAAGTGCACACCACAGCGTAGACAGTGGTGACGGAGCAAGTGAAATGAAGTGAAAGACCACAGTCCCTTGTCCCTTCTGCATCACTCATCTTACTTCAATTCCTTGCAATATAAGCAAGTGTGGATAGCTCCACAGAACAAAAAGGAGGCAGTCTGGAAGCTGTATGGATGCTGCTTACCTTTGTCACATGGGGGAAATGCAGCAGTTGCTAGAATGTATCAAACAGCAGTTTGCCCATTTCCATTTGCCCAGAGGAAGGAAGCCAAATGACCCCATTCACCCCCTCTTCATTCAGGTCAGCAGGAATGAGGAGGGCTGGAATACAGACTCTGCTCATTCCCACCACTTCTAGTAAATTTAACTTCCAAGCTTTTCTTCTTTAACCCCAAGCCTAGACAGACCACAGACCAGTTTTTTAAAGCTCCAACAGCCTTAAAACCCCCTTGAGACATGCTTAACTAAGAGCACATGAAACAGGCTGTCATCTGTGAAAGCCAAGTCTCTAGTACCTCAGTTTTATGTGACCGAATCACAGTGTACTGACCGGTTGCGTTCTCCTGGCGTCAAGGGTGGCACAGGAGCTCTCAATTCTTATTGCAGAGACAGATGCAGAAAAAGAATTACACAAAACATGTCGGTACCAGATGAACTTTCCACTATTGGGATTTTTGTACACCAAGTTACAGTGCTCTATTACACTGCAGAAAGTTTTATCACTGGGAGGGATGACTATGTTTGTGCAAGTTTAGGTCACAGAGACCACGAAAGCTTGTGTCAGCCTCTCAGGGATGAGCTGCAGCAGTGAGGGACAGTGGCTGGCAGCAAAACTGACTCACTGTGGGATGTTATCTTATGAAAACGACTGCCTGCTGTATGCTAAGCTATTCCCCTTTGCAAGCTTGCCAACTGGCAAACAGCATTGCTGGCACACAGATCCCCCAGAATCGAGTCCAAAAAGGATACAAAAATATTCACGTACACACGTACATTGATAGCCTAGACTGCACCATCTCCTCTTATTTCTAACTACAGGGAACTCAGGTTGCTACCACTCTAACCAAGATCCCAGTCTGACCAAAGAGGGCCATTATCCGGTAGATCTCCAGTTGGTATCACAGCCAAGACCATTTCTCAGAGCACCTCCCAAAATACCCACTGACCCCGCGCTGCAAAAGAGGAACCCCGTGTACCTAAACATTATCCCGTGCCAACGCAGTCTGGCAGCACCCGTGAAGCATCCCTTCATGCATGCATGCCCTTGGCCCTCCCTCCCTCCTGTCGTCTCCCTGGCCGCTTACTTGGCTGCGGCCAGCGACCGTTAGCTTGGCATGACCGGAGAATGCGCCGTCGGCCGAACCTTGCTCAGGCGAGCCAGGCCCCGCGACCTGAGGGCTCTTCGCCGCCTCGTTCACCCACTCCTGCGGCAGCCCCGCCGATCTGCCCAGGGCCTCCACCTGCCGAGACAGGCGCTCCAGCTGTACCCGCAGGCGCCGGTTCTCCTGCTGCAGCTCAGAGACAGCGTGTGCCAGGGGGCTGGCGAGGCGCAGCACCTCCTCCACCTGCCGGCCTACTCCCTGCTTGAACAGCTGGATGTCCACATGGATGTCCCGGACGGCGCCCCGCAGCGTGTCCTCGTAGCGTTCCAGGCCGTCGCAGACAGTCTGCGCCTCCCGACTGTTCAGATCCTCGATCTCGCCGGCCATGGTGCCCGCGCACCTCAGGCTGCGCGGGCAGGGACGCAGGAGGGTCGGGAGCAGCTATCGGCACACGCCGGACAGTCTCCCCACCTCCCTTCGCCGCCGCGTCTCCTCCTCTTTGAGACCTTTCCCTGCCTTCCGCCGGCCCCTAGCCCGTCCCCTAAGCCCGGCCCCCGGCGCCGCCGGGCACGGCCCGTCCTGCTGGGACGCAGGGGCTCGGCGGCCCGTACGCCGCGCCCGGGGCAGCCGCCGCACAGAAGCGGTGCGGGTGGTGCCCGGACCGCCCCGCTCAGCGTACACTCCTTCAAAGGGGGAGATGGAATTTCGGGAGGCAACGGTGGAACGAGCAGGGGGAAGGGGCGGGGCCACGGGCTCTTTCGCAGCTGCCCGGGGACTTCACGGCCCGAGAGGGCCGGGCGCGGTGGGCTGCGGGCGGCGCCGCGGCAGCGAGACGGCTCGAGCCGGGCGGCATGCCGGTGTGGGGGAAGGAAGAAGTGGGAGATGTGGGTCGGGAAGGAGTCGGAGAGACACAGAACGAGGGGAGGAGGGGTTAGTACCAGATCTTTACCGGGTTGCTTGGACGATGACGATGTGAAAGTACGCACAGATTGTCTCTTTAGCGGGGAACACGGAGGCAAAGGGAGGAGAGAATGGTATTTTGAGGGCATAGAGACGGAAATGCATGCACATGCACCCTTGGACAAACTGCCAAATTTTGGCGCTTTCACGGGCAGAAACTTGTAACCAGCCTGTTCACACTTACACGTTTCCCACAGTAGGCTGCAATTCCATGGGCATTAGTATTGAGCTGCCAGGTCGTCCAGCAGATCCAATCTGTGTGCATGGTGGATGCGACACATTTCTGTCAAGCTAGCCAGAGACACGATGCAGAACCCTTTCAGGCGTATTCTTTGCTGCAGCACAAGACAAAAAAGCCTCACAGAAAAAGGGAATCTGAGAAATATTTTAAGCAAATTTGCACCATCAAATAGCCTATACATGTCAGCACTTTATGTCAGGTAGCTACAACTTCTTTGTTGTAGTTAGCAGTTGTCGATAGTAGCCTCCTTGCAGCAGCAAGTAGCTAAGCCTGTAAATCTGGAACATGCAGGGAAAGTTGTCCTGCCCCAGTCAGTATGCATAAAACTCTAAAACAACAATAACAGAATTCAATTACCATTAGCTCACAGGAAATTTTTTAACATTATGCAACCTTACCTAAAAACAGTATGTGCATGTGTGTGTGCGTGTGGTTATTACTGTTGACAGCTCATAGCTATTAGCTAATGGTACTAATGGTGTAATTCTTTGGAAAATACTCTTCTCTGGTAAATATTTCAATTTTTACCTTTTTTTTTTTAATTGCTAAAGAAAACTTCTATTTTTTCACGGAACAATTATCTAGTAGACATTTTAGTTTTCTGACAAAAGGTGTTTTGAAATAAAATTCCCAACCTATTCTCACCTAGGTCTAGCGGAGCCAAGCAAATAAAATAGTTTGGCTGTTTACAGACTCAGCAGCCATAGAGTAATTGCAAACTGCCAGTGTCTCTAAAACTGCCTGTCATTCATGCATTTAGAGCAATTTACAGTACAGGTGAGGATACCAACGGTTAAGGTACATCCTAATCTCACAAAAAAGTTAAATACAACTTTCCATCTGTCCTGTTGCAAACAAGGAATTAGCTTTATACTTCAACAGTCTGAAACCACACCCACCTTTCTGTTCCCTTTGAAATCTTCTCCTTTGGAGCTCTTGCAGGTGGACAGAGCATGGGAATTTGTCACTCTCCAAAAGCCTGTCAAAGCAGTTATTGGATGTACACAGCACAGGTGAAACCCAAACCAGTGATTCAAAGATGGAAAGATAATGCTCAGATTCTCAGAGCTTAAACTGAGGAATTTAGAATATTTTGATGCCCAAATCACACTAGGTTCTCTGTCTCAATATCTGATAGTTTTTCTTCTTCAATAAAACTCTATTGGGAAATAAGATTTCTTTTGAAGTACAGGCAGTTAAGGGCCTCTTTTCAGGTCTGAGCCACAGCCCAAAGACCAAGATCAATGGGTGCATTTCTGTTCATGGTGTTTCAGTAGTTCCCTAAGCACTTTTTAGAATCAATCTGGAGTGCTAGAAAAAAAAAAAAAAAAGGAAAACTCTCCTAGAACAGCAGCAATGTGTAATTTCATTAAAACTAACTCTGTTTGCTTTCCTACATGTCTCCATAGAAAGACACGTGTATAACATAGGTGGATGTACCCGTGGGAATTCAGAAGCTGAACCATGAGCTGGAAGTCCTCACCTGACAATAAGTTCTTTCTAGGCCGGTGTTAAAAGCATACTTATTTCAGACCTTGAGAAAACACAACCTACTGAAACATACTAATCTAAAAGCTAAGCAATCCACTGGAAGTTATGCAACAAGGATTTAAAGAGGTATCTTAGACGTAGAAAGATTTTTGATAATTTAAATATCAAAAGCCCATTCTGAAATCAGATCAGTTGAGTGCATGGATACAATCACTGCTCAGATGAAGTTTCACAGCCTGACTGCAGGTGAAACTACAGTTTTTTAGCAATTGAGGAAAGATAAACCTTCTAAATATAAAACATGAGTTATGCTCTTAGTGACTTATATCAGTCATTAGTTCTAATTTGCAAAGCTTATTGAAAACAGCTGAAGATAATCACTCCAAGCAGGCTAACAGCCAAGAAGCCTCAGTTGTTTCTTATAACTGACAGGCAGCTTTTCGGTGTCCTTCTGGCTTGTACCAGGAATTATCGTAACATTGAAATCACGGTGGCAGATGGTGACAGAGCGTACGCACGAGGCACGTGTCCGCAGACGCACGTGCAATCGCACACGCCCAAAGGTAGCAATAGGAACAGCCATTCCCTCACTTGTGCAAGGTATGCAGCACCTTTGGCCGTGTTCACTCACCACAAGAAGGACTAACAGCCTCCGTTTCACCTAAGGATGCCAAGCCCTGTAAAGGGTAACATTTAGGAGACAACAGTTGCTGCCATGGCTGCAAACTTTGTTTTCTCAATACTGATCTCGGGTATCTGAGACCTGGTCATCTTCTCCTTAGCAATCACTATGTGATCATGTGTCTGACAGCGTTCCACGGGCAGTTCCAATTCTTTCCAGATCACAGTTCTAGCTTTTCACGGCATAAAGCAACCTGATACTCTGGGCTAGCTCCGGCTTACACAAGACTGCCAGCCAAGGGAAAGGCCTCAGCAGTAGGAGATTTTTTTATCAGCACCTGTCTCAAAGCGCTCTATTACAGAAGAAGTGGAAAAATTCTACAGTCACTTCACACAAACCAGTTCCTTAGTCACATCTCCTCCTTAGCACCTGCTTCAACAAGCACAGCATCTTACAATATGTCTTATTTTTTATTTTCCATGGCACTCAGCTCACCCCATCTGATAAGAGGTGACACCACTTGAAATTCTGAGACCAGGGCAGAGGTGGGTAAAAAGGAGAAGCAACCACGAGACTTAGAGGTATTTGGTGCACTGGTGGGAGCAATTCGGGCTGAGCGTCTCACAAGCAAATATTTCATTAAGGGGATGAAACCTGCTATTATATTAATTCACCTTTGGGATTTGCATTTGAAAGGAGTAGGATTGCCCAACACTATGGGAAGGCAACAGCACCCTTGCATTGTCCGGCTGGGGTTCTTCCCCTGGGGAGTTGCCAAAAGACATACGAAACTCCGGCTAAAATGTCCCTGAATCAGCTAACTACAGTCTTCATTCTAAGAAACATCTTTACCAAGCATCTGGAGATTTTCAAAAATGTCAAAAGATCAACAGCAGGCTGGTTTTGCTGATTCCTCCTGTGTAATCTTGTGCTAGGTACCCCATTATCTCACTTTGCATTATGTTATGGAATTCATCAGTGATATTTGACCATTTATCAGGCCAGGGCTTGGTAATGGCTTTCCTCTCTGATAATGCTGGTTGATGAGCTCCTCAAGCACCCTTCCTAAATCCTCCAACACATTCCTGTGTACCATGTAAAATTCCCACAGTTTGGATAGAGGCCTGACTGGTACGTCTGTTTGTTTCTTTTCCTGACTGGGATTCACTTTTTTCTGAATGCTCCAGTTTTCCAACTTGTTATTCTTCTCGGCTTGCCACAATCTGTCCCTCTCTTTCTTGTTCTACAGCAAACTGATTCCATTATGCCTCCTTTTAGGAGGGAGATCCCAAGTGTTAAAACATGCTTACAGTCTGTCACAAATCTGAACAAAATTGATACTGCGCCAGAGAGCAGTCAGCTTCCTTCCTTCAACAGGAGAGCTTTAGCCCTTGGCTGCTGCTGTGGCATTTTGGCCTGTATGACACAGGTAACACAGTTAATGTTTATTTTTATCACTGACTGTACTTAGCAATTGAAAATAGAGTCAGACATTTGCCAAGGACAGCCATGTAATGATTCGCAGTATGGTTTCTAAAGGGCTGAGAAAGACTTGTACTGCAGATAGAATCCAGACCTTGCATTAAGCTCAATGGAAGGAATGATCTGAAGCTCCTAATTGAGGTAAATATGCACATAATTTAATGCTGGTAATTTAAAAGTTAACTGGTAATTTAAAAGTTAACAGGGCAACTTCCAGTCTCATCTATATTATCACTAATGTGAAATTATTCTTTGAATTCCTGAAGTTACCTTATATTTACTGTTATTTCTCTAAAATCAGAACACAGGCTTTGGTCTTGATTTTGAGGGTTGCCCATACCAAGTACTGGATTTTTCCTCCCTTCCATGCCAAAAAATGAGCAACAAAGGAAGTCGATCTATATCTAGGCTTACAAGAGCATTCACAAAAAGAAGCAGAGGAAAACATTTGTGTTTCACTTCATCAAAAATATTTTATCCCAACTGTTATTCATTATCAGAACAATGAACACAGAGATGTGGAGAGGAGCAGTAGCGTGTTCAACAATGACCTTGCTTCAACTCTTTTAATGTAGAGCCAAACTTATAACTGATTTCTTGGATGCATATGCTTCTTATTGCAAGCAGAAGGCATCATTAAGTTCCTTAAGAAAGCTACGACATTTTTCCTCTCTTTATAGACAAGACAAAAACAGGGGCATTTTCTGAGGTGGTCTGTCTACAGCACCAGTGGTTAAACCACTGAATGACAACTTAGCTTTGTACAGTTCCCAGCTGGCTTTCTAGCATCAGGCCTAAGCTTTGCCTCTCTGCTGCTTCAGCAAGTGTCCCAACAGCTGTGCAAGGAGGATGCAGGGCAGTGCACCTAGCCAACTGCATCTCTCAATGCCCTAAGCTGTGTCCATTAGCAAAGGAATATTTAGGACTTCCCCAATAGAAGTAAACCTATACAGCTTTCTCATATTTCACCCTAAAATCAGAGAAAATATGGGGACCTTTCATAAGCTTCTGATTTAAAACTTTCCCATGCACATCAGCATCAAATCCTTCCAGAATCCCCCTGCCCCCATTCCTCATCACAAGTTTAGAAAGGTGGTGTTTTCTTCCATAATTTACACAATTGGCAGTTCTTTTACCAGTATCCTGTGCTGCTTGGTACATGTTGGAAATTTTGTTGCAAAAAAACTTTGCAAGGAATACCCAGAAGAGTTGAGATGCACAGCAGAAGAGCAGGCATTTGACAAGCATTATCCTGAAGCCTTTGGAATATACAACGCCTAGGTTCCCACCCTGCTACTGCATTCCTAATGGGCTTCTTTACAGCACAGAGCAGCACTAGGCTGCCCACACCAACAGTGGGCAGTCTGTGTCACGGGCAGCAGCGGCATACCTCTCTCTGCATGGGAGCTTGCTTTCCTGCTGTGTGCAAACCAGAAGCTCTGTCAATGGGATTAAGCAGTAGTACTAGTACCAGTAGTCAGGACCTGAAGCTTACCTTTCATTAGAGTACATGCAGAGTAAACCAGGCTCTCCTTTGAGAGATCTTTGAAGATTTGCTGAGATTCAGAAAGCTCACGGGCAGTTAAAGAGCCTGGCTCACACAACTAAGGAACACACAACTTTCCTCTGAAGGTTTTTATCAGTCAACAGAAATAGCGCTCTGTAAGGGTCAGCAACTCGTCTTTCTAGACCTAATAACAATAACAGGGCCAGCAAAGCTGTTCCGTGATGACACCCATAGTGATTTATGACCTACAAGGGGCTGCCTTACAGCAGGAGCACATAAAATGCGGTAATGCTAGTTGCAGCTCAGAGGGGTTAACAAAACCTGTGGCTGAGGGTAGGAAAGGCTATTCTGCCCTTGTTAGCTAGTGTGGCTTTTAATAGGCTCCTTCTCCCATGGAGAACTGAGATCCAGGGAAGCCAAAGAGTTTGGCAAGAAAGTTGTGAAAAGACCAGGAAGATCAGCTTTTGATCGTTCAGAGGGAAGAAGAGAAGACGCCAAAATGGACAACTTACATAATGAATAACTTGGTTGTGGGAAATGCAGGGCAGAGTTGCATGCTGGAAGGACCACTTTCTAATTTTGTGCCACAGATAGACAGATGGGAAACTATTCCTGACTGCTGAATGCAATGCACATTCATTACTTGCAGCTCTTCCTAGTAAGCATTGACACTGTAGCATCAGGAGTGAAGACTGAGTTGAAGAATTACCTCTTATCAATCAAATTACAAAAGGCTTGGGGGGAGTGGGGCGGGAAGGGAACAAGAAAAGATAAAAAATCCCCAACTGAACTCTCCTCTTGTCTACATCAGGTAGACCCATT